CCAGGCACTCCTGCAAGCCCGACAGCTCCTAAACCACCTCGAAACAGAGTATGAGCTCAAACCGTAAATGCAACCGACCCTTTCAGCTAGGGTTTTGCTGGCTATTTTTTGTGAAAGCTACTCAAAAACGCTGCTTTTCCTTACTTTCCTTAACTAGCCACCGCATGGGGTATCTTATTTGCATGACCATGGACCTGAACTGCAGCAACGGGGCATGGGTGAAAGCATCCAAGCGGCCCGGCTTACCCGTACCAGCTCTGTGGGGAACAGCGCACACACTCAGACCTCCCTGACAGGTCCAAGTCAATCATCTGGACCCTCTATGAAGGATGGAGTCCCATCGGGCACCCTGAAGGAGAGGTGGATCCCTCCTCCTCTGGGGTGCAAACCCTCTTGTCAGGCTGGCTCCCCAGTTAGGATATCTGTATTCTGGAAATACGCTGAAGGCTCCTTATTATGTCGTTTCTGTGGCTGTTTGTGTGAGTAAATCTTGTAGTCAGGCGATGCGTGAATAGTTTGGCACATATAATTTACTCAATGTATTCAGATGTGGTGTCCTGAATACTAAGCACCGTGCTCTCATCAAGGAGAAGGGCTGACTTTAAATGCCTTTTTTTCTTTTCCCTGGCAGTTGGGGTTATATGTAAATCTTGCACTTGCATATGTGTTTCAAATAAATTGCTCTGGGGTTTTTTTGTTTTCTTTTTTTTAAAAGAAATAATTTAGCCAGACTTGCAAGGAGACAACTGGCCTGGCAAGTCAGACTCCAAGGGGGAATATGGGAGGGAGAGAAAAGGCAACTCTGGACTGAAATGGATGTGTGATCTCTCGCCTAAAGGCTCTAAGGAGTGTGCTCTGTGTGTGTGTCCCCCCAGCCTGTGGGGCCTGAACGTTCAAGCTATTTTCAGCTCCTGGAAGACAGCCCTGAGCCTCTACCGCTCACATCCAATTCTGTTAACCGCTGTCAGCGGCACTGCTGTTAACGTGAGAGCGCCCAGGGCTCCTTTCGTGTGCACCGCCGTGGATCAGAAGCAAACCCACAGAATGAAGGGAGGGCTAGAAAAGAGTGCAAGAACCAAGCCAGCACACATTTTATGAGAGCCTTGGTGTTTACGTCAGCTTACTCTCTTTCTAGTCTCACTCGGGGGTCATTCCCCTCGCATTTATGTGGTGGCACCGAGCGCCCTCGGCTCAGCGCCCCCCGAGGATGCAGCCTGAGGTCCCCGCTCGGGGACGCCTCTGGCTGTGGGTACCAGCAGTGCTGACGGGCACAGCCCACGGACAGACCCCTCGCCCCGCAGATGTCCAAGGCGCGATCTGCCGGTGATGTGGGAAAGGCTCTGCTCCCACGGCCGTGCCTGGTGACACTTCTACTGTCCATCCCTGGGGAACGGCAAGAAACATGTTTGCATCCAGGGTGAGAAATGGAGGGTGTTTAGTATGCAGAAAGCTTCCTTCCTTTTTTTTTTTTTCTTTT